CTCCGAGTCACACATGGAGTCTTAAGAAATCTTCAAAAGAGGCAACCAGGTGTGGACAAAAAGGGGGCTCTGTTATAAAACTGACAAGTCCAGTGATTGAAAGGAAGGTCCTGTGAAGGCACAGGGAGCAGGAAGAGAGTCAGGCTCTGACTGCTGCTCCTAGCACCCCACTGCGAAGGTCCCCATCCCTGCAGCTCTGGGAGAACTCCCTGCATGGACACTTGCGGGTCCCTAGCACTGCAGTGCACCTCTTGGCTGCTCTTTCTCTGAACCACGAACCATGCAGCAGCTGGCTACAGCCATTGCTCCAAGGACACAAGGGGTGAAGGAACTGCCAGGCTGCTCGGCTGCCATAGCAAAACATCGTGCACATGGGCAACTTAAACAATAGACATTTGTTCTCACAGTTCTGGAGACGGGAAGTCCCCGGTCAGGGTGCACACGATGGGTTCCTGGTGAGGGCCTCTCCATGGCCTGTAGACACTGCCTTCTCCTCTCCTCTTAGGGCAGAAGATTATTTTTTGAGTTTGAATAAAATGTGTCTCAGAGATCTTTTTGCATTGGTCTGTTAGCTTCCTCTATTCTAAAGTCCAGTTCTTTCCACAAGTTTGGTAAGTTCTCATCAATTATTTCTTTCACTGAGCTCTTTGTTCCCATCTATCTCTTCTCCTTGTGGTATACCTATTATCCTTATGTTGCTCTTTCTAATTTAGTCAGATAGTTCTCAGGGAGTTCTTTCATTTTTTTAAAGAAATTCCGTTATCTCTCTTCTCCCTCCTGAGTCATTTATAGGTTTTAATCTTCATGCTCACCAATTCACTCTTCCATCTAGTCTGCTCTATTTTCAGTGCTCCCTAGTGTCTTCCTAGTCTCCTTTATTGACTTCTTCAGCTCCAGAACTTCTTTTTGGTTCTTCCTTATAGTTTCAATCTTTTTGGTAAGGCATTCCCTTTGTTCATTGATTTTATTCCTGAGCTCATTGAACTGCCTTTCTGTGTTTTCCTGTACTTCACTGAGTTTCTTTATAACTACAATCTTAAATTTTCTGTCATTTGAACCACCATCTTCCATGACTTTGAGTTTGGTTTCTGGGGACTGTTTTTTGTTTTTTTTTTCCTGTTACCTTGGTTGCTTATGGTATTTAATGGTTTGATTCCCTGCCTGAACATTGAGGTAGGGAGCTTTTTCTTGTTTAGATACTGTTTGTTTTCAACAATTCAACAGGTAGATAGGTAGGTTACTTTGTTTGTGCTATGGTGCTTAGGGCATCTCAGTTTTCTTTACCAGGCTCTGCCAGGGAGTGTGGGGCAGGTGAGGTAAGTTAGCAATCTTGCAACTCCACCCCCCTTCCAGTAATGGCTGTCTGCACTGTTGTGCTGTTTTAGCTTCCCAGCCACCTCTACCTGGCTTTGCCATGATGGGGAGAGAAGGGAGATGGCCTTTTTAAGAGAGAAACTGCTTCTTTTCCTCTTACACTCCAGGCCATAGTGTGAGGGCTGCACCCTGACTTCTCCTCTGCTACCACTCTTGCTGGAGTGTGGTGGATGCTGAACTGTGTCAGTGCCCACTGTTTGGTCCTTCCCCCGCGCTACTTCCCCTAGTTATTTCAATACGCCCACCTTCTGATGTTCTGAATTGTTCAGGTGTGTTTGTGTGTTGAGCAAGGGATCCTTTACTGAGTTATAGTTGTCTGACTTGTTGCAAGTTTAAGTGGAGAAACAATGGAGTCTTCTTACTCAGTCATGATGCTGACATGAACCCGGCCACTCCTATTTCTAACTTAGATGTAAAAGTTTTAAATAAAATGTGAGCAAACCAACCTAAAATTATGTTAAAAGAATAATTCATAATGGCCAAGTAGGGTTCATTCCAAGCATTCAAAGATCCAAAATTAGAAAAAAATGAAGGACATTGACATGTGAAGAAAGTAAAACATAGGATTGTTTCAGTAGGAGCCAAAGCACATGAATCTCTTTCCTATGACTGAAAAAGTCCTTCAACTTATGAATCCTTAGAGAAGCAGAACTTGGCTCCTATTACAGAAGCTGAACATATCAGATACCTGCTTTCACCGACCCTCTGCCGCTGAGTCACAGGCACATGACCAACCAGACTCACAGCAGACTTTGATTCAGGAGCTAGTATCACAAAGGAGTAGTGGTGGTGCAGAATTCTCCCTCTGCCGCAGGGAGGTTGTGATAACACTGAGTCCCTGGCTCGGCAGCTGGAGCAGTGCAAGCTTCAGTGACCTGGTCTTGCAGCAGGAGCAGAGCTTTGCTCACCAGACTGGTTCTGCAGCCTAGTTCTGGGCACTGTGCTGGCTACACAGTTCCAAGTCTGCTTCTCTAGCCCTCACTGACAAATCTGTGAAGTAGCCAATGCATTTTTAATAAATTCCTTTCAGCCTAAATTAACCAGAACATCTTCTGCTGCTTACAACTAAAACCCCTATACCAATGCAGCAAAACCCAACAGCCTCAGGGGCCTTATTCCACATCACAGTCTCTCTCTATACAACTTTCCACCTCACTTCCTGTTGCTTGCCGCCTCCTTTTCTCCACATTTTCAAATACTTTTTGCAGCTGGCAAATTATATAAATGGTCAGATTAACTGCACCCCTTGTCCAGTCACCAGCGGTGAGCAGACAGGGACAGGCTCATGTGGTTGTATGGTGCCCTTTCTGGGGGACAGTAGGTAGGACATTCTAATCATCAGGAGAGGCAATAGATCAACAGGCATGGAGGCCGAATCTCTGAAACAGGCACCTAGCCTGGTGTCGGGAAGTCCTAAAAGGCCTTCTAGACAAAGAAATTCTGGGCTAGACTTTCCATATAAGTAAGATTTACACAGAAGGCGATAAGGGATAAGAGAATCCAGGCACAAGAAAGAAAATGGTCTAGAGTGAAGGGTGGAGTGTTGCGATGGGCTGGACAGGTAGGCAAGGACCAGACCACACACGACTCTGTGGGGGGAAGTGGTGGCGGTAGGAACAGAAAAAAGTGGGTGTGGGATTGGAGATAAAATCAGTGGACTCTGGTGACAAGTTAGATGTGGGGATGAGGGAGGAGCGGAGCTAAGGATGACTATTAGGGATTTTGTTTAATGATGGGATGGCTAGACCAGCAATTTTCTTTTGTTGGTTTGTTTTGTATTTTCCTTATATATATTTTTTTCTTCTTTTTGGCTTTTGTTTCATTTTGTCTTTTTTTGTTTTTGTGCTTTTTCTTTTTTAAAAAAACTTTTTGAAATTGATTTTTAAATTATTATTTTCTTTCTTTAGAGAGAGAGAAACATTGGTTAGAGAGTGAACCAGTCGGCTGCCCCCTGCACATCCCATTCGGGGCTGAGCCTGCCGCCCGGCCACGTACCCACCGGAGCCGAAGGGCAGCCTTTCAGGGCGCGGCGGCGGCCACCCAACGCGCCGCGCCGGCCAGGGCGTCTCTTATTTTTTTTTTTTACTTTTTGTGTGTCTATCTTAGATCTGCAATTTTAAAAAATATATTTTTTAATTTATTGATTGATTTTAGAGAGAGAGAGGAAAAGAGAAACACCAGTTTGTTGCCCCACTCACGGGTGCATTCCTTGGCTGCCTCCTGCATGTGCCCTGCCTGGGCTCAAACCCACAACCGTGGCGCAGCAGGGCGATGCTCCGACCAACTGAGCCACAGGGCCAGGCTGGCAATTTTCAACCCATGTGCTGAAGAATTTTTAAAACATGTAATACCCGACTATTTAGTCAGAGGCACTGACCTTTTTCCCCTTAGACTGTCAAATTAGAAAAATGACAACAGCCAGCACAACAATGGCCACCCAATGTGAATGCTCTGTCTTGAACCATAAATATATAGGTCATATAATAGAGTTGTACCTTCTTGGTCACGTTACATAATAAGTTTCCATCTGATTGGTTAATTCTTGTACCAGAAATCCTTATATACAAGTATAGGCACCCAATGTTTTTAAAAAAATCACTTTGGAGCAAAAGAGGGAGGCAATTATCCTTTTTTGTTTTTGTTTTTGGTAAATCAATCAAAATTATACCTATTTTTTGTCAGATCAGCAAAAAAATATTTTTGGTGTGCTGTGGAATTTTAGTAATTAGTTTGTGTGCCATGAAATGAAAAAAGCTGAAAATCACTAGGCTCAACAAATAAATGTATAATGGTACCATTCACCAGGCTGGAGAACATGGGATAAGCTACTTGGAGAGAGATGATGTGCTCAGTTTTGAACATACTGTTTTAGTGTCTTTGGGACATCGAAGAAATCCAAAAGGCAGTGGGACATATGTGTTTGGGCGCAGGAGAGGGGCCTGGGCTAGAGATAAAGTTTTGAAAGTCACTGGCGTACCAGTGGTAATTGAATGCAAGCGAATGGACAAGAGTAGTCTCAGGTGTGTGTGTAGCATAAAAAGTCACCCAAAGACCAAAGTCTGGGTGAAGGTTAATTTTCATGAAGGGCAGAGGAAGAGAAATCCACAAAGGAAATGGGAGAAGGGGTGACCAGAAAGGTAAAAGGAAAACCAGGAAAATTAGTGTCACGAGTCCCAAGGTGGGTGTGGCCATGAGCATGCAGGCTGCAGAGAAAAAGAACGTAATGGAGACGTGTCCAGTGGGTGTACAGGGGCACTGGCCACCTTGGCAAGAACTGAACCAATGAAGGCGTGGGGGTTAAGAAACTAGCCTAGAGTGGGTGAGAAGGCAGAGGGAGGTGAGGGTTAAAATTAGGCAACTCTAAGAATGTAGCTGTGCAGGGGAAGTGACAGTGGCAGCTGGAGAGGTTTCTAAAAGCTGGATGAGGGTGGTGGTTAGAATTCACTCCCAATCTCCCTGGTGTAGGAGGAAAGTGGGAGAGTGGAGCTAAAAGGACGGCTTGGGGGAGAGTTGTGGAAGGGGGTGATAAGGGCATGTGTCCGGGAGGGAGGCTGCTCACTGGGTCCCAGGGGCCCCTATCAGGCTGGCATTTCCTCCCAATCCCCATCCCTTTCCTGCCCTGCCAGGCCCTCCCCAGAGCTGGAAGAAAGACGGACTGAGAGCGGCACACCCTGGAAGAAGCGCTGTGCTTTCGGAGGTTTTCCTGCCTGCCTGTAAGCTGGGGCTGGGGCTGGGAGAGGAGGGGGCGTGAGCTGGGAGAGGAGGGGGCCCGAGGGAGGGGTGAGGGCCAAGCAGCTGGAGCTAGCAATTTAGGCTTTGGGGGGCAAGGGTAGGAGAGGGGAGTGGTGAGGATGGGAGCTGTGGGGGCTGTTTCTGGAAAGGATCCTAGAGGCTTCAGTGAGAGCTAGGGCCCAGGGGAATGTTGGGGGCCAGTGGGGTACCCAAACTTCCCTTGTTCACAGGTCCCCATGACTCTCATTCTCTTGCTGCTCCTGCTACCAAGCCTTTCACACCCCCATTCCACCTGTGAGGTCTCCCAAGTGGCCAACCAGGTGGAAGTGAACTGTGAGAATCGGGGGCTGAAGGCACTGCCTTCAGATTTGCCAGCAAACACAACCATCCTCCACCTGGGTAAGAACCCCCTGGGCACTTTCTCCCTGGTGTCCCTGGGGCCTCTGACTCACCTTACACAGCTACATCTGGGTCACAGCCAACTGACTAACCTGCAGGCTGATGGGAAACTGCCAGAGCTGGAGACCCTGGAAATACCCCACAATAAGTTGATAAGCCTGCCCTTGCTAGGACAGACACTGCCACGGCTCACTACCCTGGACGTCTCTTTCAACAAGCTGGCCTCACTGTCCTCTGATATCCTGGATGGCCTGAGCCAGCTCCATGAGCTCTATCTGCATGGCAATAAGCTGAAGACTCTGCCCAACCGGCTCCTGGCGCCCACAACCCAGCTGAGGAAACTCAATCTGGCTGACAACCAGTTGACAAATCTGCCCCTTGGGCTCCTGGATGGGTTGAAGGATCTTGACACCCTCTACCTCCAAGGAAACTGGCTGCGCACAATACCAACAGGCTTCTTTGGGAGGCTCCTTCTGCCTTTTGTTTTTCTCCACAACAACCCCTGGTACTGCGACTGCAACCTCGTTTATTTCAGTCACTGGCTGCGAGACAATGCTAACAATGTCTACTTATGGAAGGAGGGTGTGGATGTTGAGGCCATGACCCCCAATGTGGAGAGTGTGCAATGTGTCAATATACCCAAAACACTCGTCTCTGAGTACTCAGGGGATGGCTGCCCCCCTCTCATTGTTGAAGAAGATGAAGACTACTATGACAGCTATGACGAAGACCCTAAGAGTGACAAGAGGCCTACCACAAGCGCTGTGGTCACCAACACCAAAGCCCATTCAACCCACTGGGGCCTACTCAACTCAGAATCTACTGCTTCTCTAGACAGCCAAATGCCCTACTTGCCTCCAACCCAAGAGTCCACTATGAAAGAGACCGCATTCCCAACCACCACAGAATCCATTATATTCTCCAAAACTCCAAAACCCACTCCTGAATGCACCACAACCCTGACCACCTCAGAACCTACAACCCCAGAACCCACAACCCCAACCACCGCAGAACCTACAACCCCAGAGCCCACCACAATCCCCACCACCCCAGAACCTACAACCCCAGAGCCCACCACAACCCTGACCACCCCAGAACCCACAACCCCAGAGCCCACCACAACCCCGACCACCCCAGAACCTACAACCCCAGAGCCCACCACAACCCTGACCACCCAAGAACCCACAACCCCAGAGCCCACCACAACCCTGACCACCCCAGAACCTACAACCCTAGAACCCACAACCCCAACCACCCCAGAACCCACAACTCCAGAGCCCACCACAACCCCGACCACCGCAGAACCTACAACCCCAGAGCCCACCACAACCCTGACCACCCAAGAACCCACCACCCCAGAGCCCACCACAACCCCAACCACCCCAGAGCCCACCACAACCCCGACCACCCCAGAACCTACAACCTCAGAACCCACCACAATCCAAACCATGTCCGGGTCGCATTCAGAACCAACCATATTAGCCACCACAGAACCCATCTCCCTCCCTGCCTTAGAGTCCACAACAATCTCTGAATCTGCCAACCTCCCCAAGGCCCGGGGGTGGGCTCAGGGGAACGTGGGCAGCCCCAGAAGTGACCCTTTCCTCACCCCTGACTTCTGCTGTCTCCTCCCCCTGGGTTTCTATGTCTTGGGCCTCCTCTGGCTCCTGTTTGCCTCTGTGGTCCTCATCCTGCTGCTGACCTGGGTCCGGCACATGAAACCACAGGCCCTGGACTTTGGCCAGTCTGTTGCCCTGGCCACAGGCAAGTACACCACACATCTGGAGCTGCAGAGGGGAAGGCAAGTGGCCATGCCCCAGGCCTGGCTGCTTTTCCTCCAAGGATCACTCCCAACTTTCCGCTCCAGCCTCTTCCTGTGGGTCCGGCCGAATGGCCATGTGGGGCCTCTGGTGGCAGGACGGAGGCCCTCAGCCCTCAGTCTGGGTCGTGGTCAGGACCTGCTGGGTACAGTGGGCATTAGGTATTCTGGCCACAGCCTCTGAGGGTGGGTGATTTGGGGACTTTGAGAGGCTCTGATGGGCTTTCTTATTGGGATCTAGCAGGGGTGGGGTGGGTGAAAAGCACAGGGTCAGGGGAGGTCTTAATCACTTTTCCTTTATCAGAAGCCTCCCTTTCATACCAAAGGAAAACCATCTCAGACCCAGCAAACCAGGACAGGTAGTGAGATGGAGTTGGGTGGGTCATAGAAGAAAGCTCCCAATACTACACTGGATGGGGGTAGGGGTGTTTCTGAGATCACTAGGTTATTACCACTTTGGGGAAGTTATAGGAAAAAGCAAATAGAAAACAGAATAGAGCATAGCCCCCACATTTATCTGTATATTGAAAATTTGAAGAGATTTATCAAGATGTGAACCTTGATTGTCTCTGGGTGGTATAAATATGGTTTCCCTTTCCTCTGCTTGGCATTGTCTAGTTTTCTACTACTATATTATTTGTATAATAAAAAACAATTTCAAAAAGAAAAACTAGGTTCTTTTGGAGAGGGAAAGAGTGGCTAGAACACCTCTCCCTGGCGTTCCCAAGGCCCCAACTAGCCCCACTCTAGTTGCACTACTCACCCAAAAAAGCTCTAGTCTTAGCTTGTACTTCCCTTGCTTGGGGTGCCTACTTCTCTCCTCCAGGGGTGACTACCCTCCAGGCCACCCCAAGCACCAGCTCCAGATCAAGAACCGTAAGTTTCCCTGGAGGTTAGTAACACCGCTGAGGCCTACCTGCCTGTGACTTGCACTACTAGGCGTGAAGGTGGGCTTGTTTGCACCTGCAGCCTCAGAAATGCAGCTCCCCGTTCTTTCAGTCAAGTGGGACAGAGGAAGGGTCTGGGTTTTACTGAATAGTCTATTTCCTACTCTCAAGCTAGGATGCTTGCAAATGGAACTCACTTCTCTCACCCGGTGCCAGTTTCTCCCATTCTCTTTACCATGTTCGATGGGGCCTTCTTTCCTACCTTGTCTCCAGCCCAAACCAAGGCTTGAGGCCCAGAGAATGGGAAGGCTGAGGCTTTGTGGCTTCATGGAGTCCTCCTCCCCCAGATGGTGCTAGAAGAATCTTGCTAACTTGAAAACCCGACTGCATTTCTCCTGCTCTGAACTCTTCCCCAGATAGAGAACAAGCTCTTGAGCTCGACAATCAAGGACTTCTGTGCACTAATCCATTGGACACTCTGGCTTCATCTCTCACAAACACTTCACCTGCTGCCCAGCCTTTCTCCTCTAAGCCTTTGCTCTCACGTCAGCCAGGAGTACTGCCCCGCCCCCTTCCCCAGCCAGTCTAACTGCTACTGTACACAGGTCTCTCCTCCCCAGGCAGAGCCAGGTACTCTAAATTACCCAGCAACGGTCTATCGCTACACTCCCAGCTCCCCAGCTGCTCCTGTGTCATCTTCCCCTCTGGACTTGGAATTTCTTAAGTATAAGACTCAGGCCTCAAGTGTCTCAATGTGGCCAAAAGGCCCAGGCCAACATGTACATGGAGCAGGTAAAAAGATAGGCAGAGGTAGGAGGGCCCAGCTGGGAAGCCAGGCTGCTGAGCTCCACCTCTTCTATCAAGAGGCTCTGCCAAGGGGCCAGTTCCCACCTGCTGCCTGCCTGTCCCCTGGCCTGGCTCAGAAGCCTTCAGGCCTCATACTGCCCAGCCCTCCTTCCAGTTGACCTTTCCATACCCTTTTATGCCCCCAAGAGGTTTTTAGGCTCCTTGGGGGCAGGGCCCAGGAATCACACCAACAGATAAGACAGTCATTCTCATAAGTCATTCTCAACCTAGCGCCCAGATCAAGTCTCTGGCCAATAATCTCTGGTTCCTCAAAACTCCAGTGTTTGGGGGCCTTGCTTCTGTGCTCACTCCCTCAAGCTATGTCCCCTCCCCCCCCATGTCAGCCTTCTCTTCTCAGACTCATTATTCCCTCCCTCTTTAGGCCACAGAAGTAGTCACCAGACCCCATAGGCTTTGCCTGGGGATTACATGAGATGACTTGTGCTGACTTGTGCATCTGTCTTCTTGGGCGAGTGGCTGGGAAGCAACACACATGGCCTGGATTTTGGTTTTCCTCATCACATCAGCTGCTGCAACAAGACTTATTTACATAGTATTTGCATAAAATCAACAGGTGCTTTTTCTTTAATAATTTTTCTTAAAAACTCCAGTTTCTGTTCTCAAGGGGCATTGCTTTTTTGTCCAGTCTCCTCCCCATCCAGCCTCACAACTTTTCAGATTTGGGGATAGTGTTATCAATCCAATTTATTGATTATGTCCTCAATGAGGTGGAGGGAGGAAGGACCACATCCTCCCACTGCAGACCCTCTGACCATCTTGACAGCTTCTGCTCTCTCTGGTCCCCTCAGCTCTGCCTTGGTTTCCCTACTGAGAAGGGGAATCTTCTGCTGTCCTATGTGTCCTGAAACTAACATCCAAGAGGAGGCTGGAAATCCTCAGGGAGTTTCTCAGCTTCCCCCAAGGCACAGCCAGGGACAGAGAGGTCATGAGGATCAGGACAAGCAGGGTAAGCTGGAGCAGGGGTAGGACAGACCAAAGTCTTTTACCGCAGAGGAAGGAACCACACTGTGGAGGGAAAATAAATAGAGGGGCCCAGGGCAGCGGTCCAGGCCCCCCAGGGGCACACTGACTGTAGGAGCAGCAGGCGAGTGGGAGCCCCAGCACACTGGCTCCAGGCCCCTCGCCTGCCTCAGCCACTGAGGAAAAGACGCTTGTAGGCCTTGTTCATCTGCTCCAAGAAGATGAAGGTGAGGACGGTGTGGGGGCCCAAGCGGGCATAGTACGGTGTAAAGCCCTTCCACAGACTGAAGAAGCCCTCGTAGCGAACGACCTTCGCCAGAACATCCTAGACAGGCAAGTGGGCAGGACACTGGGGCTAGGACCTGGCCTCTGGGGCCCTGGTCCTCATACCCAGCTACCCTCACTATTTTCTCAGGACATCCAATCCTCCAGCCCAAGCCCCCAAGCCCTATTTCCTCACCAGGCCATTTTTGTATTCTGGCTTCCCATCAATCATTCGCATGTTCTGGATCCTGAAGAAGAGGAGGCAGGGGCATGAGAGATATAAAGGGGGCTCTCCCTTCCTTCTCTAGGCCCAGACTTGCAGACTCACCGGGTCTTGACAATGTCCACGGGCATGGAGGCAGCAGTAGTGACCAGGCCACTGATCATGCTGGCACAGAAGTGGCACAGGATGTTGTCAGAGAAGTAGCCTATGGGAGGCAGAGTAGGGAGTGGCAGTCAGCTCGGAGCAGGCCTAGGCCAGGCTGGGAGCTGAGGGGCCAGCTCTGGGTCTCACCTGAGTCCAGTAAGAACTGCTTAGATTGGGAGTATGAGGCGAGCTGGGCAGCATTGACGACGACCGCCCGAGCCATAGTAGGGATGCAGCCCTGGGTGTGGAGTGGAGGAGTCAGAAATGCCTGAGACCTGATCCCATATCTCCCAAGTCTCCAGCCCCTTCACTCACCCTCCATAGTGTGGGGACGCCCTCCTCCTGGGCGATTCGAATCAGGGCATTAAACACGTTTTTGTAGCCACGGCGCTGGTCGGCTGGAAGCCTGGTGGGAAGGCAGGGAGAGGCCAAGCTCAGGACAGACAATCCTGCCCCACATGAACAAAGAAAGGGCGGCCAGAACAGATGAATGTTCTGCTCTAGATAAAATAAGAAGTTAGTCCTTAATTCTAGATTCCAAGGAATGGGGCTGGAGGCAGGCTCAGACCTGGAACTCACCGGCCATCAGCAGTCATGCGGATAAGAGCCACCTCAGCTGGTGTTCCCACAAAGGCACCAGTTGCACCTGCAGTCATGCCAATCAGGGCCTTCAGTAGAAAGCCGGGGGGTGTACCATCAGCCCCAGTCAGGCGTTCAAATAGCACAGTATAGATGCCAAGGCGAGTGGTGGTGTAAGTGGCCTGGCGCAGTAGACCAGCTGACAGCCTGGGGAGTGAAGGGATCAGCGTATCAGGCCAAGGTCTGGAGCTGCCAACCCACACCCTAACCCCCATTCTGCAGCCTCAATACCCGGTGTAAATGCCCCTCAGTCCTTCTGCTTTAAGGATACTGGTGAGGGCATGGAAGCTGGTTTTGTACTCTCGTGTCTTGGCTCCTTCCCCGCTCAGCTGCATCCGGTTCTTCACCAGGTCCAAGGGTTGCACAAAAACTGTAGCTCCCATCCTGGAGGAAGACAGGAGTAGAGTCAAGGGCCAGGTGTCCCAGATCTACCAATGCCCACTGGAACTTGACAAGAAGGGTCACAAGGGGCAGGACCTGCCATGCAATTGATGAAATGTTCAAGAGGTTGGGGGGCATGTATATAAGTCTATGTGTGTATCAAGAGCAAAAGGTCCAATGGTCCAGGGGGAGCCATGCAATCAAAGTGCTCCATGAAGCTCCAAAGGGGTCAAGAAGTAACCTGGGACTGCATGCAGTCCGACCCATTCATGACCCGCAGGAGCCATGGAATGACCTGGAACTCCATACAGTCCAGCAGAGCCAAGCAATGGGTTGAGACATTCTGGTGGCGCGCGGCGGGAGCCGTGCAATCACCCTGCATGTAGCCTAGTACGGGCCCTGCAACGGGTGAAAAGGTCCTGGTAGCCCATCAAGGACCTTGACATACACTGAGGACGGTGCTGACCCTGCAACAGACCCCAAGATGAACTGGGCCCGGTTCCTTGCACCCGTCCCTTCCTCCTCTTTCCCATCCCTGGGGCCTGCGCTTACCCGGCCAGGCCCCCAAACAGGAACTTGACCGACTTAGGGGACGTACGGGGTTTCCCGTCCATCCCGCCGGCCGCGGGACTCGCCGTCGCCGCCATCACTACTCGATGGCCCTCAACACCCGGTCCTGTACGCGCGCGACCCCGCGCGCGGCCCCGCTCGCGCCCAAGGTGACACCGCGCGCGCAACAGGGGCGAGGGCACGCGCGCAAAGCCCGCCGGCTCTCAAGTCCAGAACCTGGGAATGATGGCGCAGGCGCAGGCGCCCAGCGCAAAGGTGGCCGGGAGTAAGGCGGAGCTGGAGGAGCTCAAAGATGGGTGCGCGAAGGGGTGTGGCTGATTTAGGAAGCCAGAGCATTGGCGCAATTTTTGCTGAATTGGAATCGCGGGAAAATAGAAAAGGTGTTTGAAGATCTCGCGAGATCGAACCAGCGAGGCTAGCCAGAATTAGGAGGTGTCTCGCGATAGATACAGCAAGTTTTCAGTAGGTGGGAGGGAAGCGTGATGAGGGCTCTCGCGAGACCTGAAGGTACCGCGACGGCGGCTGCGGCCGGAGGGAGGAAAGGTTTGTAAACCGGTCAGCTCCAGGACCCTGGCTGTAAAAGGGGAATGACTAGGTCGTTCTTTGGGATTTCAGTGCTTCCTTCATCTTCACAGGCACTTCCTCCACCTCTAACCTTTCTTTTAACCGGCCTTTTAGGACCGGAAGTCCTTCATCTTGAGCGTCCAATGCTGGAAGTGGCCTTCCTTTCTTTACCGGAAACCCTTTCCCAGGACCTAGGAAGACAGCCCACCTGGCCGGAAGTCCCACCTCCTTGAACTCCCCCACCCTTCCAGAAGTTTTTCTGTCACCTGTGTTTACCTCTTTCTCCTTCCCCTGATTTATTCCTATACCAGGAAAGGATACGTTTAGTGTCTCCCTCCCAAGTCCACTAAACGGGTTGGATATCTCATTCCCCAAGTCAGGGTTCCTTCCCCCTGTCCCCATGTAGCTGGGAAGTGGGGCCTGGGGGTGGTTGGACCCCTGGGATCCTGGAGGGGCAGAGAGGGCGCAGAACTCCGCTTCTGCTCCTGCTACCAGGACGCGGCCTCAGCCTCTCCCTTCCCGCTGCCATGCACCCTGCGGCCTTCCCGCTTCCCGTCGTTGTGGCCACTGTGCTGTGGGGAGCGGCCCCCGTCCGGGGGCTCATTCGAGCGGTGAGTCAAAGGGGCAGATGGGGGAAGGGCGCTGAAGGGAGAAGTTGCAAGCTGAAGGGGAATATGAAATAATTTGTCCGCAGACCTCGGACCACAATACCAGCATGGACTTTGCAGACCTCCCAGCTCTCTTTGGGGCTGCTTTGAGCCAGGAGGGACTTCAGGTAATTTTCTCTCCTTTTTCCTTAAATCTTCCATCCTGGGTTAAGGAGCCATACCCTTGGATGAAGCTAGAGGTAGGAAAAAAGTTAAGTTAGGAAGTACTTTAGCACATCTAGTGTGAAATGCAGAAGCTAGAAGACCAAGTCTCTCTCTAGCAGTCTGAACCCTATGAGAGAGTCTGAAAGTGCATCAAGATAAAAGACAGGGAGAAGTGTGCTTACAGTAGGATCTCTGGGGTCAGTTATTGGTTTATATGCTCTTAATTATCTTTGTAGCACGGGATAATAATAGATGTTATTTCAGGGTTTTTGTGAAGATTAAATTAGATAAAGCAATTTTGCAGTACTTCAGGACAAAGACTGCTACACAGCAAAAACTGGGCCATAGATATCAGTGTAGTTGTTTTTAAGATGGGTAATTGGGAAATTAAAGGGAGGTGTTAAAAAACAAAATTCAACCAAGTAAGTTTTAAAGATCTTACTGGCCTTATATAATGACTTATGAATCGGGCAGTATCCCATGTAGCAGATAGAAACTCCAAAAGAGCTGTACATACTGAAAGATTTCCATAGGCAGAAGGGAGCAGGACAGGGGAGTTATACTAGCAAAGAGCTGGTTGTTTGTGGCAAGGTCACCTTTCTCAAGGGGATGGCAGGGGGTCTCTCAGGCAGATTACCTCACTAGTGCTGACCAGGTAATTCCAGAATGACTTGTGTAAGATTCTATTCCTGGGAGAGGCTGAAACTGTAATTAAGTTAGGTGTTAAGTCTCAGTTTGGTGACATGGAGTTTAGCACAAGTGACTCCATTTTGGGCCTGTCGTCTCTCCCAATCCTGGAGAATATTTTTTGTTTGTGTTTAATTAGAGGGAGAGGGAGAGAAACATCAATCAGTTGCCTCCTGTACGTACCTCAAACGGGAATCAAACCTGAGACCTTTTCAGTGTATACAGGGCGACACTCCAACCGAGCCACATCGGCCAGGGCCCTTTTGTCTTGTTTAACAGCAGGGAGTATTATGAGTATGTACTAGAGAAGGAAGTGTGAAATGGAACTGAGATAAAGTGACATGGGTGAGTGGAGAATCAATGTATAATCAGTGGGAAACTGGAAGGCAGAATTTGAATTAGCTTGGAGTATGGGGCATAGGTTAGCTCATTTGGGACAGGGAGAAGGTTAATGGGAGGATCTCGATGTTGTTTGATGTAATTTCATCTTCTGGAGGCCAAGAAGAGATAGAATTCCAACTTGGGTGGGATGCTCAGACCCCAGGAATGAGGAGGAAATGGAAGATAGAGATCATCCAGTATGTGGGGATCCATGTGCTTGGTGGGCCCTGTGGGGAGCAGAACCTAGGGAGGTGAGATCCAACTGTTGTTTACTTCTCTTCCCCAGGGCTTCCTTGTGGAGGCTCACCCAGCCAATGCCTGCAGCCCCATTGCCCCACCACCCCCAGCCCCGGTCAACGGGTCAGTCTTTATTGCACTGCTTCGAAGATTCGACTGCAACTTTGACCTCAAGGTTGCTGAATGTGGAGTGGGAGCTGGGAATGTGAGGGTAAAAAAAATACACCAGGAATGAAGGAAGGCAAGATCCATAATGGCTCCTTATCCCGTCTTGTCTCCCTAGGTCCTGAATGCTCAGAAGGCTGGGTATGGTGCAGCTGTGGTACACAATGTGAATTCCAATGAACTTCTGAACATGGTGTGGAATAGTGGTAAGGTTGGGGGATCTGAACAGCTGGGTTTTCAGTAGAACTCAGACTTAGAGATGGTAGTCAATCTTTTGGGTGGGATGGTATGAAAGAACCAAATGCCAGGATTACCAAAGGATATCAGTAGAGTGTTGAGTCCCCAGTGTAATGCCCTGATCCCTGCAGAAGAAATCCAGCAGCAGATCTGGATCCCGTCTGTGTTTATCGGGGAGAGGAGCTCCGAGTATCTGCGTGCCCTCTTTGTCTACGAGAAAGGGTAGGATGTGTCCCTCCTTCCCACTCTTCTCTTCCTTCAGCACGTCCCTGCAAATCTGGAGCCCAAGCTTCAGGCCCTTCATACTCTGCCTTTTGACTTTCTTTCCACCCCCTTTTCTATCTATGGGCCTTTTCCAGAGCCAGTTACTTTGTGTCTCTTCCTTTGTCACTTTGCTTTTCCTGCCCTCTGATACTGGTCTTCCTTTTCCCAGGGCTCGGGTGCTTCTGGTCCCGGACAGTAGCTTCCCATTGGGTTATTACCTCATCCCTTTCACAGGGATTGTGGGACTGCTGGTTTTGGCCATGGGAGCAGTGATGGTGAGTAGCTCAGGGAGCATGATGGGAGGAGCTGAGGCTTTTAAAACCAGACTGGACTTGGGATTTAGAGGTGGGGATGGTTTGTACTGGATTGTCCAGTTTTGTTCCCTAAGGCTGATCTGATCTATCTACTCCCTTTCCACAGATAGTTCGTTGTATCCAGCACCGGAAACGGCTCCAGCGGAATCGACTGACCAAAGAGCAACTGAAGCAGATTCCAACACATGACTATCAGAAGGGTGAGGGGGGGATAGGGGGATGAAAGGCCTTTCCCATAGCATACATGGTTCTGAAGGAGTTTGAGCCCAGGAGATAAGGGGCAAAGATGGCAGGGAGATGTCAGCCTGAGATGCCATCTTCCTTCTTTTTACCCATATATACAGTGAGGACAGGACAGGAACAGAGCAGAAGATGGGAAGCAAAGATTAAATGGAGCAGCTGGGAAAAATGGGAGACCAACCTTGCTTATAAGGGAGGTGGGGAGAACAAAAACAGAAGGAGTGGGGAGGCTTTAGTCTGAGAACAGGTGGAGGGGTTAGGTCTTTAGGCCCAGGAGCCTCCAGTGCCCAAATAAGGCAATAGCAGAAGCCCTGCCCTCATTTCCGCTCCTCCCACTCCTTATATCTTCACCCTCACCCCCCTAAAACCCACTTCCTTCTTACCTCTGCTTCTCTTTGTCCCTTCTACCTCCCACCCCCGTTCCTCATGTTCTATCCTGGCCCAGTCTTAGCTCTTCCATTGGCTCTGTAGAAACAGGGAAAATAACTCTTGCAAGACTTAGCTCTCTACAGGCCTCCCAGAGTGAGTTCTTGTGGGCCCTGGTCCAAGGTGGCTCAGTAAGAGGACTCCTTTTTTCCTCCTGCAGGAGACCAGTATGATGTCTGTGCCATCTGCCTGGATGAGTATGTGGATGGTGACAAGCTAAGGGTACTCCCCTGTGCGCATGGTGAGGCCCTCAGTTCCTGTGCCCATGTCCCACCCCACCAGCAAACACCAGGAGTTTCACCTCATTCCTTTTCTGCAGCCTATCACAGCCGCTGTGTGGACCCCTGGCTCACTCAGACCCGGAAGACCTGCCCCATCTGCAAGCAGCCTGTCCATCGAGGTCCTGGGGATGAGGAGGATGAGGAAACTCAGGGGCAAGATGGTGATGAAGAAGGGGAACCAAGGGACCATCCTGCCTCAGAGCGGACCCCACTTCTGGGCTCCAGCCCCACAACTCCCACCTCTTTTGGCTCCCTAGCCCCAGCCCCCCTTGTTTTTCCCGAGTCTTCAACAGATCCTGGCTCCCTAGCATCAGCCCCCCTTGCTTTTCCTGAGTCTTCAGATCCCCCACCTTCTCCTCCCTCTTCCTCTTCAGCTGCCATGCTGGTCTCCTACTCCCCTCATCACCCCCACCCCTGGTGACCTATTTTGCACAGCCTCTCCCTCTAGCCTTCTGTTGAGAGATGGGATATTTCTACCCTGGGTTTCTCCCTTACCCAACCCCATCCTTTTGAGGGGGCTGGTTCTAAGGGACTGGGTCTTCATTTATTGGGTTAATAAAATTGTTTTTGACAACTAAGGAAGGGGAAGATCATTCTCACACAGGTGAACCTCTTACCCATTTGGGATGTTGTCCCCTTTTTTTGGTGTAAAGGGGCAGGGGAATTCTGGGAGATTAACCTAGTCTTGGGGATAGCCCCAGCAGGCATTTGTTGTGAGTCAGAGGGGCAGCCCCACCCACAGGATGACTCAACTGGTCCTGCCTTGCCCACAGGCTGGGACCCATTCTCTGGTCTGGATGGCAGTATCATTACCCACTAATTCAACTAACACACTGAGGACCTAGGGCTAGAAACAAACAACAGGCTAGATAGGCCTGAGGCAGGTGCTTAGTTCTGGATATGGAAACAAGATCCAATTCCTAGACTTTGTAGTGCTTCAACTCCTGTTCCTAACCCCAAGCAAGGATAAAGAGGCAAGGCCCTGAGACTGTCCTCCATCCTGACACCCACGCTAAAACCACACAGCACCTTGTTAGTAGAATCTTTTTTATTCAGAAAAAACAAAACAAAAAAAATATTTTTTTTTCCAACCACACACAGGAGGGGTATGGGTAGGGGAAGGTGCCTGTCCATCCAGCCCTGCCCCTAGCCCATGTGGTTTTGGCAGCAATAAGGGGTGTCGGGTAATGGCCCAAAAAAATAAAAATGGTATGTGTGTGTGTGGGAAGGAGAGGGGTGCAAAAGCAGTGGGGAGTGGTGGGGGGATGGGAAAGACGAGGTCAGTACTGGGCACGCCGCAGGTGGGAGGCCATTTCATAACATTTCTTGTTGATCATACCACCGTGGACACCTTCTTTGCCCATCAGCAGGACTAGCGCTAGAGGAAAGAGAAAGGAGGCTAGGACCCAGGTGTCACAATGCTACCCCCTGCCAGCTGTTCAGCAGCTGTCCAGTCCTGGGGGCTGTAACCCAACCTCATCTCTCCCAACCTCCCCCCCCCCCA